GTTTCTATTTACTGGTGTGAGATTGAAATGTCCGCACCTATATACTTTTTAATATGATCAGAAACATTCTAAACATAACGAATAATGCCTGCCCTTTATTGCGTTGTGCAAGGATATTGCGTAACACCACAGTGACCTGACAAGTTGATTCTCTTCATAAGTTGTATTTACAGTAGTTGTAGCAGTGGTTGTAGCAGTAGTTGTCGAAGTTCTAGACATTAAAAAGAAGCATTTTTGTAGTAGTAGTAGTAGTAGTAGTAGTAGTAGTAGTAGTAGTAGTAGTAGTCATGTAGTAGTAGTATGTCATCGTTTTCGCTGTTGTAAAAAACAGTAGTGGTAGTTGTAATTATGGTAGTAGTACCAGTTTTTATTAAGGCGCATTATGAATCTGGACGGTCTTGATTGCAATTTGACACTATTAATATGAGTAACACAACTAATATAATCGTTCGCAAGACCCCCCACCAACCACCCCCAGCTTTAATCAATTAAAACAACAGCTAAGCAGATTAACCATCAAAGGATACCGCACTATCTTCATGGGAAAACGTTTGGCCACAAAGTCGACGTCCTGCAAATACCTGTCATCTAACACCATTGACTATATAGAAACTACTTACAATACCAATTTTAACAAGATTAATGAAAGGGATCTACAATGGGTAAGTCTTTATAATCCCAGCAAAACAAAATCGATTCTTGTTTCCACAAAAGAGCTGCATTGTACAATTTTTGGGGGACAATGAAAACACCGAAAATGTTAAAACACACAAACATCTGGGTGTTATTATGTCATCATCAGGCAAGTGGTCATGTCATATTAAATCAGTTATTAAAACTACATCTCAGATGAATATTTCAACGAGAAAGCATACATTAATGGTCAATCTTTGTCCGTTGAAGAGGAGATATGTATTGTTTATTTTACCACATTGTGAATATGCATGCGAGGTTTGGGACAGATCAGAAAGACTTCAACTAAATACAGCAATAACTGGCAAATTATATTTAGAATCTTTGAAGTCCCTAGGGGCGGACCATATGATTTCAAGGGGCAGCTTATTATTTGTGTAAATAAAACACTCAGCCTCAATCTGCTTGAAAAGAAATAACTCAGCCCCAATAAAAAGTCTCAACTGCAATATGGCAGGCCATCCTCATCGATACAGGGTATTTCATGAGCAAAGCCATAATCTTTGACAAAGAGACACTATGTCTGGAACCCTTATTATTAACAATCATTTCAAATGTTCCATTTCAAGAAGCCATATCATGCAAGTCACTGTGTTGTATCCTTAAGTTATTGACAAGGTCATTGACTCCGCTTGTCCCACTGTCATGACTGAAACAGTTGTTGACTGTGATGTGAAATGACCATTAAGCACAATTGAATTAACAAAAATACAACATAAACATAAAAATTGCAATAACCTGAACTGACATTGTTTGTTCCTTAAAACAGAACAGCACCAATGTCAAGGAAGACTCTTGTATCATCAAAAGACATGAATTAACAACATCATTACAAGTTATGCCCTGAGAATCAAATATGCCTAAAATGTACCCTATTGAAGATTGAGATGCATCAGTTATGAGGATGAAGGGTTTGTTTTGGTCGGGATATGCAAGGATGGGGGCTGTTGTAAGGGTTTGTTTCAGCTTTTCAATTTTCTGTTGGCACTTGTTGGACAATTTGAAGGACACGTCTTTTTTCAGAAGTTTGTATGGATGGAAGGAGATGCCAAAAAGCTTTGCTACAAATATGCGATAATACGAAGCCAAACCTAAGAAATGTCTAATGTAATGGACATTTTTAAGGGATGGTTATGTGTCACTGATCTTTTTTTGAAGGATGGACATGGATGCCATCTTTGGTGAAGATATGCCCAAAGTAGACGACTTATTTTGTCACGAATTTACATTTGCTTGGCATGGGGTGAATCCTGCTTCTTTGATCTTTTGGAATGCTGCCTTAAGGTGATTCCAATGTTCTGAATACGTTTTAGAAAGTATTATGATGTCATCCACATAAAATGATATGTAAAGCCAATTCATTTCTTGTAGTGCCTGAAATGGTTTGCTGAAATGACATAGGAGCAATTTTTGAGGCCGAAATGAGACGATTCCATTCAAAAACACCATCGGTTGTAATGAAGGCCGACTTGTGTTTTGTATCTTGATGGAGTGGTATTTGCCAAAAGCCATTAGCACAATCAAGGACATTAAACATGTTGGCATGGCTGTCGCCTCTATATGGGATCAAAGACATTTTCAAAATGTGGTAGAGGGGGAAATATAGGCTTGGTAACAGCATTGAGGTGTCTATAATCTACGGAAAAGCGGTATGAGCTATCCCGTTTTTAAACCATGACATTTGGAGAGTGCCATTCAAAAGACGTGGGCTGAATCATATTGGTTTCTAACATTTCTCGCACCTGTCTAGAACATTCTTCAATAATGGCTGCGTTTTGCCTATAAAATTGGGGTCTAATGGGTCTGGCGTGCCCTGTTTCTATTTTTGTTATGATATATGTGAGTATGTTCCTATCCAGACCAATCTGAGGCAAAAACTTTGCATTTATTGTATTCTTGTACTTTCAATATTGTGACTATTTTTAAAACGCTTTTTAGGACAAAGCCTCCATGACGTCCAGGGGTATTGTTATAGTGCAAACCTCTTCACCTAATTGTTTCAATATGTTTCCAAAGTGCACAGAAATTAGATACTCTTATTCTGTTTTATGTGTACAGCAAACATTCAGCACATCCACTCTAATCATAAGCCCCCGAAAGGGAATATTGAAGCCTTCCCTCGATTTAAATGGAGTTTAAGAAGAGATAAATTGTCAGTTCCACCACACTTCCCATGCAGTCTCAGAAAATTTAACATAATATATACAAATGAAGATATGGTGCCAGTAATTTAAAAACTTATTTATTTAAACGATGTGGCAGCCCCAATGAAAAGTTTTTTACTTGATGCTATTTAGGGGTGTCTTTGCCGGCAGGTATTTTTCGGAACTATAAATATTTCACCAGATCATGTGAATGCTAACACAATGTTGTTGACAACATTAATCCCTGCCTGTCGGCAAAGTGTGTATAATTGTCTTGACATAAATCACGTAAAATAAGGCCAAATAGCACACTTTTATTCCTTTCAGAAATTGAAATACGCACAATAAGCTTTTTAGATTTAACATTACTCAACAAGGTGGGAAACAGCACCACCATATTGAATCCTTGACATAGTGCCATCTTCTAGTTATTGTTTTTGGCTAGAAGCCGCTCGTCCTACAATTTAGAAAATAATAATGAAGAACAGGCAATTATTTTGTATCATCAAACGGAAAACTAGAATATCAATATTATACATGAGACATATATGTAGACAAAATTCCATATATATATTATTAATTTAATTATTTATATATTATTTTATAGGCTACATTGTGAAATAAATGTTCAGTTTAAGAACTTACTGTGCAGTTATCTTGAACTCTTGGTTATATGATCGACTTTCAGTGTCTCCTTCCTCGCTGCAAGGAAGGTGTCGACGGCAAACTAACTATTTACGGGAAGTTGATTATGGCTTTATAGCAGTCCCAGTGTACAGTTTCCCATCATCATGACTTAATCCCGAAGTTATGCCCATTGTATGGTAAACTCCACCACGAGAATTAGGAATAAATCTAACATTGACCTCTGCGTTTGCCATTTGCAATGACACTTTCTAGGGAGGGCAGTATTTGTATACGAGTTATATGTTTGTGTGTTGGTCTATCCAATTTCTCTGTGTCAGTCTGGTGTCCGTCTGCCATCTCTTTTAACTGCAGAGTTGTTATTCTTACTCTCGAGCAGACTTTAGTCTGGTGCTACCTATCTGGGTCACAGATAATCCTCTGGCGATGTTGTGACTGCACGTTTATACCATAATTATTGCTCTACATCCCCACATGGACAAAGAAGGTTATTTACCTGATTACTTAGTCCAGCAACCTCACCAGGTTTGTGTGACTGTAGTCAGAGTGGACCGTCTCTTGTCTGGGCAACCGTGTGTCACTATCGTAACACTTTATTTGTTTTTATTGTGTATTTAGTAAAACACATAGATTACTGATACAGGTCACTTTATGATAAAACACAATGCTGTAGTTGACAGAGGAACACAGTTCAGTCAAAGGTAATTTACAAGACTTGGCTGGATCATACCACTCGCCCTGAGTTAAGCTCATCAATGAAGAGTGAAACAGATTATAGCTTTGAAATCACCCGACCGTTAGTTGTAATCCCCCTTGCCTGCCGGCAAAGTGAGAAGAAACCGTTAGTTTTAATCCCCCTTGCCTGCCGGCAAAGTGAGAGGAAACCGTTAGTTTTAATCCCCCTTGCCTGCCGGCAAAGTAAGAGGAAACCGTTAGTTGTAATCCCCCTTGCCTGCCGGCAAAGTGAGAGGAAACCGTTAGTTTTAATCCCCCTTGCATGCCGGCAAAGTGAGAAGAAACCGTTAGTTTTAATTCCCCTTGCCTGTTGGCAAAGTTAGAAGAGACCGTTAGTTTTAATCCCCCTTGCCTGCCGGCAAAGTGAGAGGAAACCGTTAGTTTTAATCCCCCTTGCATGCCGGCAAAGTGAGAAGAAACCGTTAGTTTCAATCCCCCTTGCCTGCCGGCAAACTTAGAGGAAACCGTTAGTTTTAATCCCCCTTGCCTGCCGGCAAAGTGCGAGGAAACCATTAGTTGTAATCCCTCTTGCCTGCCGGCAAAGTGAGAGGAAACCCATAAGTTTTAATCCCGCTTGTCGTTAGTTAGTTGACAATGCAGCTTTACCATGTGAATGAAAACATCCTTAGAAATGTACACAGATATATGAAAAAACAAAAGGTTTGATTGAGCAACGTTAATGTACATACGTTTCTGTATTTCACTTTTTCCTTTCTGTCATTTAATGTATTTGTGATCACATGAGAATAAAATATGTCTAAACTCAAAAAGATGCATCCTGACCTGCCAATGAGCCTCATTTCGTGGTGTGGTCACTGTAGAAGAAACTTTTCTCGCGGAATATGGAGAGCAGAGTAAAGTAAACTCTTGGCTAATCGACTTGCAGGATGGTGACCATCTGATTATTCATGAATTCCCACTTAAAACCGAACTTTGTTATTCAGCTAGGCCGTCATGGGAGATATTTGGAGTGAAGTAAATGCACCGTTTGGAATGTAATTGAAAAGACATATCCAATAAGAAAAAACTTCCCAATCTGAGTCAGACTTGAATCATGAAAACGCTACCTTTTGAAACGCATGAATTGTGTTGACAAAGGAGAGCCCAAGTACGAAGGACTTTTCTCTCTATGAAATGTAGCATGCTACCTGCCTTATGCATGCTACAAACATTCAAAAAAAAAGGGGGGGGGGGGGGGGGGGGGTGTATTTGAATATGTATAAAAGCCTTCTGAATGTAATGAAATACTGGCTGTCCTTTATCGTGTTGTACATGATATTGCATAACACTATACTGACATGACATAACACGCTAACTCTCTGTATACAGTAGTAATATTGGAAGTTATGGCAGTTGTATCAGTAGTAGTTGTTAATGAAAAGTTAAGTGAATTCAACCATTTAATAAACGATGATGTCGATCGAACAACTTACAAACGGACCGATCTGTTTTTATAAATTCTTTCCAAATGTTATTATGATCAGATTCGGGGGCATGGGTGGCCCATTCGTCTAAGGCACTCGCTGTGCAGAGTTGTTTCCCTTGGGCACGCAAGAAACCTATGATTGTGGGTTCGAGTCCTGGTTCGCCCCAATTATGATTCCAGGTTTGTCAGCACCATACCCGTGCTCGTGTGTTTCACCGAAGTTGTAAACGTCTGAGACCTGCATCACTTCGGGCTTTCTTCCCCCTTTAAGCTGACACACCGTGATATAACTGGAATACTGTTAAAAACGACGTTAAACCCAACTCACTCACTCACTCACTCACTCAATTTACATGTTCTCAAACTAGTTTTATCTCATGTCTGTGCTAGTCTAGTTATTGTATTGTCCTTCGGAGACAGGTTTTATGCACTCTAAATATATTTGCTATTAATGTTTAACTTTATCTCGTCACGGTATGGCGATGTGACGTTACATGTTAACTCATTCTAATCAGGTTCTAGGTACTAGTAAACAGAATGGCAAATCTCAACCAACATGGTTTGATAGTGACCGTGAAAGACTTAAATCATTTTAAGTACACCGGTTTAAATCTGTTCGGAAATTGTCAGTGTGATGACAATTTAAAGAAGTGTGCAAATGCCAAATCTGAGTTCAAGAGATGCTGTACGAAAAGAAAGAATTCTACGAAAGAAAGACTGCTGAAGAAAATAAACAATTTTCATATGACAGTGACTGTAAAAGGTTTTGGGATGAGGTGAAAACTGTTTTTAGCTCATAATTGTCCAGAAATATTTCTGCTGATGTTTAGTTCAATTATTTTAGCGATATGCTAATCCCTGCTGTGATGGCAAACTGGACATATTTTGAATTAAATATTGTAGATTTTGTTGAAAAAACACTCATGTATAATGAGTACACATTTGCCTTTTACCAAAGATCTTATATCTTGTGTAATAACTGAATGTGAAATTACCAAAGTTATTTCGTCATTAAAAGCAGGAAAGGAATCCCATATATTGGAGTTGCAGTACAGGTCGAGAAGTCGTTTCATCATTTGGTGTACGCCAAGGATGTATATTAAGCCCGGTACTGTATACTTTCTTTTCTAAGGAATCTCATGTATGAAAATTGTGATCATGGTATATTTATTACCCAGTATATAATTTGTTTGTTTGTTTGTTGTTTAACGCCGCACTGAGCAATATTCCAGCTATATGACGGCGGCTGTAAATTATCGAGTCTGGACCAGACAATCCAGTGATTGACATCATGAGCATCGATCCGTGCAATTGGGATCGATGACATGCATCAACCAAGTCAGCGAGCCTGACCACCCGATCCCGTTAGTCGCCTTTTACGACAAGCATAGTCGCCTTTTACGGCAAGCCTGGGCTTTTGAAGACCTATTCTACCACAGAATCCCAGTATATAAAAGATATAATGTTACTCTTATATGATGATGTTGTGGTAATGTTCTCACACACGGTATCCTTCTTACTGAAACAACTTAATGCTTCGGTGGCATTCTGTCATAAATAAGGTTTAGAAGTAAATACGGAAAAAGGTAATTGAAACCAGTACTTATTATAAATATCTTGTGAATATGTTTTAATCAAGGTTAAATTGGTCAACGGCATGTACAGCACTTGCCAGGCAAGCTTTTGCCAGGCAAGTCTTGTTCCTGCTTTATGTCATTTGAGGCGCAACAAATATATATTATTTAAAACCTCCAAGAAGTTGGTGTAACTTGTATATTCTTTAACATCATAATATCAACGTATTCCAAGCTCAGTGTTTGTGGGCGGATTTCAAATAGCCTTTCAAATTACTTTGGTTTTAATATCGGTCTCCGTCAGGGGTGCATTTTGAGCCCTCGACTATTAATCATGTTCTTAAATCGACTAGTTAAAGTCATGGAAGAGTGTGGTGGTAGAGGCATATTTGTCTCTCTAAGTTGCGATAATGTGTTTGCTTTAATGTTTGCAGATGACATATCGCCAATGGCTGATTCTAGTTTAAATTACAAAAAGAAAATCAATTCCTTGGATATATTTTGTGAGACCGCGGGTATGAAAGTAAATTTGAACAAAACCAAAATCATGTTGTTGTTTTTTGTAATTGTAGCCCTTTGCATAATTTTGAAAAATGTTTTTTTAATGGTAATCAAATAGAGGTAGTATCTTTTTGTAGATATATTGGACTTGTATTTACTCCAAAACTTGTGTGGAATAAAGCACATTTTTGTCTAACTTCACAAGCTAATAAAGCTCTAATGTCCATTTATCGTTATTCCAAAATGGGTTAGGGATATCCCATGTAAAGATTTGTTCAAAATATTAGATAGTAGGGTTGTCCCAATATTGTGTTATGGATCAGAAATATGGGGAGTAACATATTGCAAAGAAATCGAAAAAATACAAGTAAGACTCTGTAAATGGTTGCTGAAATGGGTAGTAAAACTAAAAACAATATGGTTCTTGGCCCCTCTCCAGTTGTTTATATGACTAGAGCAGTGAAATATCGGTGTGAAATTATGAATCTTAGTTAAAATAGATAAACGTACCAATGTTATCAGAAGTTGTTGTCCTTGGATGAAAGTGGGCGTGTAAAAAATATACTTTCTCAGTTCGGTTTTGGATTTGCGTGGACAGCCCAAGATGTTGGAAATATAAACAGTTTAATATGTATTTTTAAGAATAGAATCGTTGATAATCTCCAGGAAGCCTGGATTACGCACATATTCAATTCATCAATGTGTTGGTACTATGTACAGTTCAAGTCACTTTTAAATGTTGAATTGTACCTTTCATCAAATATCCCTGTCTACTTAAGGTCTGCTTCGAAAAAATTCGATGAAGTAACTTTCGGTTAGCTGTAGAAACTGGTAGATATACAAATAATAAATTTGCACGGAGTCTTTGCCCATGTTGTAAGAATGATAATGAGTTATATATTGAAGATGAATTTTATGTTATCTTTACTTATAGTGGGTACAATGTATTAAGAGATATCTATCTAAGCAGCCATCCACCACATGTAAATGATAATTGTCAATCCACATATCGCCTTGTAAATATATTGGCTTCTACGAGGAATGAACCATTGTACACTGTAAGCCTGTATCTTTATAAAGTAAGACCCATGAAGATCCGGGATAGAATAGGTCTTCAGCAACCCGTGCTTGCCGTAAAATGCGACTATGCTTGTCGTAAAATGCGACTAACGGGATCGGGTGGTCAGGCTCGCTGACTTGGTTAATGCATGTCATCATATCCCAATTGCGTGGATCGATACTTATGATGTCAATCACTGGATTGTCTGGTTCAGACTCGATTATTTACAGACCGCCGTCATATAGCTGGAATATAGTGCGGCGTTAAACAACAAACAAACAAACATCGAGGGAAGTTGAACCTGTCACATAACTTGAACATCTGTGTTCTTAAGTATCCACAAAATGTAAACCCAAAATAAGCATGCGTATCTAAATTGTATTAAATGGTTGTATTATGGGCCTCTGGCCTTTGTACTGAATAAGGGGCGGTCGGGTAGCCTAGTGGGTAAAGCGTTCGCTCGCCATGCCGAAGACCCGGGTTCGATTCCCGACATGGGTACAAAGTGTGAAGCCAATTTCTGGTGTCCCCCGCCGTGATATTGCTGGAATATTGCTAAAAGCGGCGTAAACCCATACTCACTCACTCACTTGTACTGAATAAATCTGTCTGTCTGTCATTTGTTTGATGGAAAAACTACCCCTGTCCTTCTTTATGGATCAGTATTTGGGGTACCAAGTATCATAGTGCCACAGCCATGATTCAGATTGTATACCTTGAAAAACTCCTTGGAATTGGTAAATGTGCTTCAAATAAAGCAGTACTTGAGGAAACAGGCCACTATTGTACATATATTCTATGCCAGTGTAGAGTTGTTAGATATTGGATAAGACTGCTAAGAATGGATCCCCATTGCCTCCCATATCAATGTCATGTGATGCTTAAACGTTTGGATCATAAGCATGAACGAAATATAATTTAAATTGGATTCCTGATGTCAGATATTGACTGTTAATCACAAGATTTTATTTTGCATTTATTTCGGAAGAAGTTGGTAGTGAAAACTTATTTTTGCATCAATTTAGCACATCAATTTAAGTCTAGAACTCCGAACCGACCATTCCTTGTAATAGCCCCTTAATGTCAGGCGCCAGACAGGGTAACAACAAGTACCATCTTTTAACGTCTTTTGGTATGACGCGGACGGGGATCAAACCCCGGACCTTCCGCTCTCAGGGCGGGCGCTCTACCACTAGACCACGGAGGCGGTCTCAATTTAAACAATGATTTATAGAGTGAGTATGGTTTTACGCCGCATTTAGCAATATTCCAGCAATATCACGGCGGGGGGAAACCAGCAATGGGCTTCACACATTGTACCCAAATCAGATTAATAGATATTTTTTAACAATCGTTGCATGAATCGATAAATACATATTTGTTTTTAAGTAATTAT